GGAGCCTGACTTTCAGAAGCTTCATGACATTATTTGATTATGCTTTTGAAACTTCTGAAACTCGGGCTCCATTGACTGATGTTGTATGAGCAAACCAGCAGGACAAACTTGACCAAACTCACATCCTCGGTGTCTTTTGGTCTTTCTCTAGATGTTCTCACTGGCTCTGGGGTCACTGAGGATGAAGAGACCACAGCAACATCTGGTCCTGATGAGGCAGTAAGAGGTGCAGTGATGGAGCGACTCATCCATGGCACTGGACCATTTCCAGGATGCTGCTGTGGACTTCTCCATCCTCACTGCTCACACCAGTCTGCAGACATTTCAGATCCTGCAAAGATGCACAAACACAATACAAAAGCAGTCATTTTAACAGCACAATGTCATTTGATTTCTGTATTAGAAGTAACAGAATTATCTTACTTTATATTTTTGTTTCAGGTTTTCCCTTTTTTCCCACAAATTTTTTCCTTTTTTCCCTTTCCTTGCAGATCCTGCTCCACCACAAAAGCTCTGCAGCAAATGCACAGGAATCAAGAATCAGAAAAGTGCTGTGATAACTCTGTTTGAAATTACAATAATTTAAATAAACTACAACTTAAGATTTAAAAGATGTTTTATTCATTTCTGTAGTATACTCACTCAAAACCTTTGATGGCAGCATTACGCTTTCTGGTGAAGAGGGTAGGGCTGTAGTACTCGAGTCCGGTCTCGAGACATTTTTCTATCGTCTCGGACTTGTCTCGGACTCATTGGTGTTTGCGCTCGGACATGTCTCGGACTTGATCATTGGACTCCCCAAATGTTCTCGTTGGTCTCGACCGAGTCCAGCAATATGCTTTTTTTTCTCCTTTGAAACAGAACCACATTTGCATGTCGCGCCTGAAAACGCGTGGAAAATGCTAGGCGCGCCGCTTTCTCCTCCTTTCCAAAGCACTCTGTAACCTGCGCTCTATGCTTGCGCTCTCGTGGCGGCTGCCATTAATAAGCAATCATGACCTGTGCTCTCCATGAAGACGCAGCAAAGGATAAATGGATTTCCAGCATTAAAAATACCTTGCAGTAGCTCTGCTACAAACTTTATTTAAAAAATGTCTATCCTTGTACAGCTATGATCAGCTGTTTCTCCATCATAGTTATCGTGCTTGGTGTGAACGGGCCTTTAGATTTCAAGTTTGTTACGGGAAAGGATGAAGCTGATTGGTTGATTCTTGTCACATTCACTAATAATGAATATTCCTTCTACAGCATTTATTAATATTAGTTAACTTTAATTTCAGCATTCACTAATGCATTATTCGGTAACGCTTTAGATTACAACCCGCAAAGAACTATGTAAGTATACTGAATTTACGGTGTACATTTCTGTAATTATAGTGTATCTATAAAGAACATACGTGTAGGTATAAGGGAACAATGTGTTATGTTTGGGTAATAAGGGGGTAACAACCAGATATGCAACCTGCAAAGAACTGCGTAAGTAAACTGAAGTTACAGTGTAACTTTTTTGTAATTACAGTGTACCTATTCAGTACCTCCGTGTAGGTATAAGGGAATAATATGCAAAGTTTGGGGAATAAAGGGGTAACAACCTGTAAAATTACAAATCATTTATTCTGTAAGTATTTTGAAACTAATAGGTGCTTATTGTAATATTACATGGTATGTATGGCCTAAACAACAATCTTATGTTTGGGAATGATTTAGAAAGATGATATATACTTTTTATAATTTCATATTGGTATTTTAAATGAGAGTTTCTGCTATGATTTAGGCCTATAATTCACGAGTCTACTTACCTTATGAAAGCCTATTCGTCGATTTCAGCAACTTCCCAACACCACTATCACCAAATAACTTCGCATGATATACCATCAAGGTTCAATGCAGCTTAAAACAAGCTTACCTCTTTCCAGCTGTTCGCAGAAAAAATACATGATATAACATTTGTATTTCAGTGGATGTATACTGTGGTGTTTTTATAGCGAAAAAAAAAATGTAGAGGATAATTTGTAATTTGGCCATCGAACTATTAAATTAAAACTAGTGCAATATTTTTCTCTGTAATTACTGTGCAAATATACACTTGTTCTGTGTTTAAGTCCAACTTGTTCCTCCCTTGTTCCATGTAGTTACAGGGTAAATACAATATTTGCGGGCTGTAAATTAAAGTGGTGCTTTGTTCCCCCTTGTTCCATGTAGTTACAGGGTAAATAGAATATTTGCTGGCTGTAAATTAAAGTGATGCATTGTTCCCTCATTGTTCCATGTAGTTACAGGGTAAATACAACATTTGCGGGCTGTAAATTAAAGTGGTGCTTTGTTCCCCCTTGTTCCATGTAGTTACAGGGTAAATACAATATTTGCTGGCTGTAAATTAAAGTGATGCATTGTTCCCCCATTGTTCCATGTAGTTACAGGGTAAATACAACATTTGCAGGCTGTAAATTAAAGTGGTGCTTTGTTCCCCCCTTGTTCCATGTAGTTACAGGGTAAATACAACATTTGAGGGCTGTAAATTAAAGTGGTGCTTTGTTCCCCCCTTGTTCCATGTAGTTACAGGGTAAATACAACATTTGAGGGCTGTAAATTAAAGTGGTGCTTTGT